GAGCCCCTTGTGCCTGGCTTTTCAGTCAATAAGCTTCCCAGAGGACCTTGCCTTGGAAGGGTCCCTGGGCCAGCCCCAGAGCTTGTGGCAAAACAGCAGGCAGCCAGCATGCCAGGCAGACTACCTTGCAGGAAGCCAGGCTCTTCCTGGTGCCAGCTTGCTCACTGTGTGTTTGCCCTGGCACCCAGCACGCCAGCTGCATTTACGCTCACCCAGGTGCCAAGGCTTTCAAAACAAGGGTGGCAGTGTTTTGGGTGCTACTTTTGGTTACAAAGCAGCGTGCACCTGCTCAGGCCACCACCACCACTGTTTGGACCATGCTCCCCTGTGCTGTTCTGATGGCCTGGATTGTTTGTGGCTAAGCTGGGACATCGGACCCGCCTTCTTTGCTTGTGGTTGGAACACCCATTGCTCTGAGTTAACTTCCTGTCTCACCTGCCTCCCTCCCACCGGGCTACATGGCAAGTCCTGACTTTAAGATTTGTTTCTGGCCAGTTTTGGAGGGTGGGGAACATGCAGCACATGTACCGGGGGAACACTGCATTTAGAATGCTCCTTTCTGAGGCTGTAGCTTCTGAGGCAGTTGAGTAAAACCCAGAATCCTGTCGCCACTTATAGGGATTCTGGTTTAGTGGTTCAGGAATGGGGCCAAGGGTTTGGTGGCAACGGTGACATCATCATCACCACCACCATCGTCGTCATCGTCTTAAAGTTGGTTCCCTAGCTGATCACACAGAGAGGCACAGTTCACCTCCTTAACTTGCTTGTCCGTCAAGGCTGAGTGGGATCGGTTGTCACAGGGCTCCCAGAGTCTAACCCACTGCCAAGCTCCCAGGTGGTGCTCAGTCTGTGCGTTGAAGGCTAGAGGCAACACAAAGTGACTCTCTTCATAGAGAACCCTTCGCAGTGTGAGCAATCGCCCGCTAATCGATCCCCATAGTTATGTTTGCAGTCTTAAAGGTTGATTTTTCTTAAAATGGAGGCACGCCTGTTCAGGATTTTAATGACAAAACAATAGTGTCTTGAACTGAATAGGAGTAATTACTTTTGAAGGAATCTGAGCCACACCTTCCTCCCTAAATATTCCTTTGATGAAGATGTATGAAGTTCTCTGGGCGATTTACTGTGTGTGGCCAGGGCTGCAAACCACTGACTTAGAATGTGTGGAACCAGCTGGAGAGGGCAATGGGAGATTCATTTAAGTCAGTGAGGGTGGTGGACTCTCAGGCTGGAGAAGGGAAGTCCCTGGATTCTGTGATCGAAGACTGCTCTGAAATCTGAATCTAAAACATACTAGATATACATTTTCCAAAATTATATATATTGAATAAGAGTCAGCTGTTTCCTACCTCTTTAATAAAAACATTTTTCCCGATTATAACTATGTCACATGCTTATCCTAAACCATTGGGTTTATATAGAAAAGAACACAAAAGGCTAAAAATCCCTCCGCATGCCAGCGCACAGAAGAAGTAACCGTTACTCTGTGTGGTGCGCACCCTTCTACTGGTTTCTCATGTATCCTAGACACATGGTCCAACATCCACGGAATCATTGATGTGTACCCGTTGCTGTGCTTTTCCCAACAGGATGACATGGATAACTTTCTTCAGATCTACATAGTCATTTTTATGAGATCTTGCCAAATTCAAGCTGTGAATTGTACCTGATCAATTTTATGGCACTTTATCGTTAAAGCTTGCTGCGTATTTTCTTTAAAATAAAAGGCAGATAGTAGCGTAGGAAGCCACTGCCGATCAGGAAGCTCACGTGTGTCTGGACGGTCCTTTCAGGATGTCTGGACAGTCATGGGCTGGGGACAGAGGGCTGAGCAAACCTGGCCACAACCACTTTTTGTAGTGCTGGTCTCTGTGGAGTTTTAGTTTCATTCTTTAGTTTTACTCTTTAAGAGGTCCTGTTGTCACTTGCCTTCTGGCCTATACGGGGAGTGTAGAAAGCCCAATGCCCCTCGGCAAAGAGCTGCTCCCCGAACATGCAGGAGGCAGAACCACCCATACGGAGCGTCTCGGTGGTGATCCACTGCTGGCCTGAGGGACTGGACAGTCCTTCGGTTATGGAGAGAAGCCGACAGTTGGCATTTCTACTTGAAATCTCTTGATTTCTAAACATAGACAACTAATTGTTTAACAATTAAAATTGCGAGGCCAAACGAACCACATTTGGGCTTTTTATAGTCCTCTGGAAGCCAGTCTGAGGTCTAGATCCACTAAGCCGTCTCTGACACTTGATATCGATGCAGTCGACTTCATTCACTTCTGAAAATAGTGACTGAATGCATTATTCTTTGTGCCATTCGCTGTTCAAAAGGCTGGAAATACAAAGATGAAGAGTTGAGATCCTTGCCTTGGGTGGAGTAGCTTATGGTTCAGAGCAGCTATGCTCAACATAAGGTCCCCAGACCAGCATCCTCAGTGGATCACCTGGGAACTTGTTAGAAACGCACGTTCTCAGGCCTCTGCCCAGACTCACTGAATCAGAATCTGCTGTCTGTTTTAACAAACACTTCCTGGTGGTTCTGGTGCCCGTTGAAGTTGGAGAACCGTTAGTCTTGAAGAGTTCAAGAGGGATCGGGCAGATGGGCAGAGATCTGTGGGATGGACAAGGGGTGGTGGGAATCAGGGAGGCTTTTCAGAGACGAATGGGTCCACCTGGATCTTAGGGTAGGAGTTGGCCAGGGGGAGCAGTGGGGAGGGCTCACTATCCAAGGATGGGAATTGCTGACCTCGATCCAAGTCACACCAGGAGCATCAGTAAGGAGGAGAGTGTGTGGGCTGCGTTTGGCAATCGTCAGTTTAGAGCTTGTGGCTGGGCACCGAAGGATGTTTTCGGAACTCCCAGAAGCTGGGAAGAATAGGTGGGGCCCTGTTTTTGCTACCAGGCCAAAGTAGCTGGAGCATTGGGACATCACTGCAGACCTTTTTAAACAGGGAAGTGTGGCATCGGATCCGTGTCTGGAAAAATAATGTTGGTAGAAACATTTAAATTCCTTCTGGGTAGAGACGGCTCTCCTAGTATTCGACTGACCGAGATTTCGATTCCTGCCTCTCCTGGCGTGACTTGGATCGAGGTCAGCAATTCCCATCCTTGGATAGGGTGGTGGGAGAGGAGACAGCCCGTGAGTGGGGAGGCAGCCTCTGCTGCAGGTGTAACAGTGACCACAGTGTCGCTGTGCCTCTCCAAGCCAAACATTCTAGTGGTTGCTGCTGTTCTCAGCATTCGCGGTGGTCTTTGTAACCCTACTTCGAAAGCAGCCCATCAGTTTCTGCAGCAAAAATGTAGGGGAAAAAAAATCCCTGCTCTATTTCTTTCTTTAGAGATCTGTGGTGTCCAAAGAAGAAACGATTGGACTCAAGGACAGGGAAACTCATGTCCGTACTCAGCTGGAGCCCCCTCCTCCTTACCTCTTTCCTCCTCTCCTCTGTCTGTCTTTTTCCATTGCTGGGGTGTGAGAGATGGTGGGAGCAGGATGCAATGTCACCTCCCCCTGCTGGTCATTTTGTATAATATCTTGTTTGTGAGGAAGAGGAGAGAGAGCGAGACAATGCAAATCACAGAAATACAAGAGTAGACTAAGAATGAAT